TTTTTTATTCTGGGCCAGCTTTAGCTCTGAGGCTTGGCTCCAGCTCTGAGGCCTCAGCTGCTGAAAGCAGGTTTCTGGTTTGTTTGGGTTCTATAATCGAAACACTGTTTCAACTCCAGCTCTGAGATCCTAGCTGGCTGAAAGCAGGTTACTGGGGTTTTGTTTAGCTTCTATATTTGTAACAATGTTTCAAACTGCAAGCTCAGAGGCCGGCAGCAGCAGGCGGGGAACGTTGGCTTCCTCCGTCACTGGAGCAAGCAAGCCTCCTGTTAGCTTCAAGCTGCCTGGCTGCCGGCCACCATCTTGGCTGGCAGTTAATTTGCATATCGCCCTGATTAGCCAATGGGAAGGGTAGCGGAGGTACGGCTAATTATCATGTTTCTCTTTTATTAGATAGGATGTGACCCTGTGGGTCATTCCTTTGTAAACCACAATCCTCCCGTTTCCCCGTGACGCCATTATCTCTAGATTTCCTTCCTCGCGTCCCTGTAGGAAGCCCCTCTTCCTTTGCCTATCTTGTTAGTATCGGTGATCCCCAGATTCTGTCCTTGACTCTGTTTTTTATTCTACATCCTCTCCCAATTTGGGGCCTTTTGTAAACGTTGCAACTGCTCTGTCATAGGTGGTGATGGTGGTGTGAAGGTGATAATGAGGAAAGGGGGCTTGGCAAAATGGTAGGAAGGAATTCGGGGGTGGGGGGGAGTAGGATGGCGGAGTGTCACCTGTATTTCACAATCTGGATTTAGGACAGAGCCCGAGAGAAGCCAGCTAACTTTATCAATATGACTATCTGTGGAAGTGCCATTCATTCTTTGACAAATATTTGCTGGATTGTACTATATATTTGGTATAGTTCTGTATGCTGGAACACTAGGTAGTGACAGATAGTTGGTGTAAAGCAGCACATTCCATTTTGTATTATAATTACTGATTTGAAAGCGAGAGAGAGAGGGAAGAGAGGGAGAGAACTTGTTGTTTCACTTATTTATTCATTCATTGGTTGATTCTTGTATATGACCTGGATTGAACCTGCAACCTTGGCATATCAGGACGACAATCTAACCAACCGGGCTACCTTTGATTTTTGACTGTGCCCTCAAGGAGGTATTACCCAAACCTCTGCCATTTAACCCGTTGATTATTCTAGTGAAGGAAACTAGAGAGCTGCTTTATGGGAAAGATATTTTATTCTGGGCAGGAGGGCCTCCAGCCCCACAAGCCATCTGCCTATTAGGACAGACGGTGCTATAATTCAGAATGGACCTTGTTAAAAATCTTGGCCTTACCTTTGCAGATGTGTCTTGTTTTGTGAAATCATGGTATTCCCAAAAAGTCATGCATAAATCAGTTTCTTTAATCCCTTACATTTGCACAGTGAGTTATGATTTACACCAGACTTTGCATAAATTGTTGATTTTTTTTCTTCCCCCTTAAAATGCTCAATGGCAAGAAAAGCAGAGAAATCCACAGCTTAGAATGGTTCCCTGATTGTAAGTGATGGAGCTGTGTTTAAAATAATGAGATCAATCTTATTTTAAATACCTCAAGAACGACTGAAAAGGTTCCTACTGTGATGTTTTTGGAAAGCTAAGAATTATCTTATAAATACAAACTTCCAATTTGCTTTGTGGGCAAGGCTAAATTTTTACAAACCAGATTTGTAGACGAACATCCACTATGCATTACTAAACCCAGTTCTAAATAAAGCTGAAATTCGGGTGGGTTGCGCGATCATTCTCGGCAAACATGCCAGCTCCTATCATATTTAGAACCCCGTGTTCTGAGGTGCTCAAGTTTACGCTGAGGAATTTGCTAAACAAATCTCTGGCAAGGGAGCAGAGCAGTGATTTTCTGTGTCCTTATGTCCTTTCAAACAGAAACGGCAAAATATACCCAAGTCTATAATTCCTAAGTTTGTGGAGTTTCCATCTTGAAGCTTCTTACTACTGTTTGAGTGCTAGCTCACTCTTTCCCCAAAAGGAGCATCCCACTTACTTATTTTTAAAGTTAACCGGAATAAAAACTTCCTAACTGATCGAAGCAATTAGGGATAAAAAAACAACTGATTTCTTGTGTTTCCTGTGGAAAATGGAAGACACACATGCTGGGAAAAGATTAAGTCTACCTCCCAATCGGGGTGCGCAGGGCTTCTAGCAGCGAGTGGGGTCTGCGCGAGGGCAGGTCTGCACAGGAGGCCCGCGTCGGCCAGCGGTGACGGCGAGGCTTGGCTCAGGGACTTCCGAGCGTCCAGCAACAACAATGAGTTGCGACAGTGATTTGGGAGACACATCTAGAGAGTAACAGGTTTGGGGGAGAAATGGCTAATACATGGGCATGGTGTTTCAGGACTGTGCTCATGGAAAGCAGGAAAAGGAGAAGTGAAAAGGGAAAGGGGGGAAGATGGGAGAGAAGGAGAAGATAAAAACAGACCACAGACAGAAAAGAGAGGGAAGAGAGAGCTGGCAAGCTGGACACAGTGGAAGCAGAAAGCAAAGTAGGTGAAGGGCGGACGAGGCGCGCGGGGCGAGCG